CACTTCATGATAGCATGCTCACCTCAGCCCTTCTTGGTGGTCCATGTGGGGATGCGGGAGGAGAGGAGGGCAGGAGAGAGAGCGATTTATTTCTAATCAAGGCTTATATATCTTTTGGGGGCATGCAAGCCCCCTGATTACAGGTAAAGACATAAGTCACAGGAAGAGGTTGTACTATAGGTAATACAGTAATGGGAGGGGCACCATCTAGGGTTGTACACGCTATAGGAAGAGGAGGGATTAAGGGTACCCATGTGACAAGATGAGCAGACCCCAGATTCAATATGGAAGCCTAACCTTGGACACCCTTGAGTGGGCTTGACCTCCTTGGGTTCTCCTTCAGGGAAATCATCTACAGTACAACTATCCTTATCAGAAGGGAGTGGGCCCTACTTAGGGTGGGACAGACTATACAGTCTGATTGCTCTAGATGGCTGATAACCCTTAGGGAGCATAACTTCTGACCTGCTTTCGTTGACCTCCAAGGGTATAGTCGTTGGCCAAGTGTAGCAAGCAGCTAGGTTTGGCATTTATTTGGGGGATACAACTTGGGAAACATCTTTCTGTATCCTACAGAGGGCCTCCTCTTTCTCCCACAAAGACATAGGAGGATTTGAACCTCTGACATTTGGGTTCCCAGCCAAGTGCTTTGCAACTGTGCCACAAGGGCTCTTTCCACAAGAAACTACAGCTTTGGAACCTCGGGGCAGCTGGCCAGAGAAGAGCCGGCTGCACAGCCCCTACCAACACCAACAGCCCTGTGGGTAATCGGATTTCCTGTGGTCTGGTCACTCAGGACTGCCTGCTCCAGCCCAGTCCGTGTGGGGCTTCCTCTTCCCCACGTCTGTCCCCAACCCCGTCCCAGTGACCCCGGCGACGCAGAAAGCCCTCTGAGGGGTGTCTCTCGCCAGCCCCTGCTGCTTCAGGGCAGGCGGGGCCTGGAGCTGCCCTGTGTATCACAGCAGCCTGGTGGCTGCTCCCACAGATGGTCCCCACTCTGGGATAGCAAGTCCCAGGCTGGCTTCCTCCGCTGCTGTCACCAAGCTGCCGTTACCATGGTGCCTGTGGGAACAAGGTGGTGGGCGGGCCAAGCTGCTCGGAGGGGAGGGGCACTGGGGGCAGGGCTGCACGGCTGGACAGACTCCCAACACAGATAGGCAGTGAGCAGTAGTTCCCACACAGGTGGCTGCAAGGCATGCTGGGACAGGCTGCAGGGCCACCGGCCTGGCCTGCTCCTGTTGCGACCTCTGCCCCCTGCCCCGACCCCAACCCCCTCAGCCAGCTCCCCACATGGCTGCCGAACATCAGGTCTCGCCCACTGCCAGCCCTGCTCGGTCTCCATTGCTGCCAAACCCAGACTCCCCAGAGACCACCGCACGGCCGGACCCCTCCTCAAAGCTCTCCTTCTCTCTCCCAGCCGCACGGCCCCCCTTCCTCCCGTGGCCCCAAAGACCTCAAGACTCTCCTTGCTTCTCTCCCAGCTGCATGCCCCGCCCCTTCCATGGCCCTGAAGACCACCACATGACCAGACCCCTCCTTAAGACTTTTTGATCCCCTCTCCCGCCCTGAAGTACGGCAAGCTCATTTCCAACTCTGGGCCTTTACACGCACCCGCGCCTTTCCCTACCCCCACCCCGTCAGCCAGGAACCCCTTCCTTCAAAGGGAGCTCCTTCTTGTCACGCAAGTTTTAGATGCAGGGTCACCTCCTCCTCGGCAGGGCCTGGCCTCTCAGCAAGGTGGACTCCTCCTTTCCCTGGGGAACGTGAGCCGACCAGGGCAAGGCTGATCAATCTCAATCCCAGCTGTGTCTCAAGAAGCACAGACAGACAGACGTGCTACCACTGCCCCAGGCTTGTCTCCAGGCTCGGGCCGCCCACTCTGCCCCAGAGGCTTGTAGACTTGGCCATCAGCCTAAGGAACCACCTGCATGAGGGGTTCAGCATACCACCTGGCTTCCCCCCCGCCCCCATGGGGGAAGAGTGGGGGGGGCTTCCCTAATACACTATGACACGGCTGACTGGGTGTGTGTGTGTGTGAGAGAGAGAAAGAGAGAGAGATGCAATCGAGATTTCTTCCCCCCCCAGCCTGGAAGGTCAGCAGCCCAAGTTCAAGGAGCCTTGCACCTTCTGAAAGCCGAAGGAAGGAGATGGCCCTGCGATCTCCCAGCGTCTGGTCAGAGAAACGGAAACTCACTGCTGTGGAGTCGGCTCCCCCGGCTAGAAGGGCCACGGAGACAGCGTGCGAGTGCCCCTCTGTGTTTCCCAGGCTGTAGGTCTTCGCAGGAGGCCAGAGCCCCGGCGTTCTTCCCCAGAGCGGCTGGTGGGTTCACACCGCTGACCTTGAGGTTAGCATCCCCATGGGCGCCCCACTGCCCACCAGGGATATCCTTGCGTGGAGATACTTCACTCCAACCTCTGCCTCTGTCGCCTGGCCTTCTCCCTCTGGGTCTCTTGTCCTCGTCCTGTAAGGACACCTGTCCCACTGGGTGAGGGCCACCTGCTTGGCCTCCCCTCCCCTCGACTGCAGCCTTTAGTATGGACTGCAACTCAATGTCGAGAAGACCAAACTCCTCACGCTGGGCCAGTAGGTCACGTCACGATACAGGGAGAAAAACGGACGCTGTCTTGCTCTGAACCACGACCAGCGCTCACGGAAGCAGCAGTCGAGAGATCAACCCCCAAACTGCACTGGGTCAGTCTGCTGCACAAGACCCCTTGAAGGCGTCAGAAAGCACGGGTGTTACTTTGAGGGCTGTTTCCGTGATAGCTGGACCCTGACTGAGTAAGGAAGACCAGAGAAGAATGGATGCCTGGAATACCGAGGGAACCGCGGACCGCCCGGCAGAAGAACAAGAGCCTCCATCTGGGAGGAAGTACAGCAGGATGCTCCCGAAAGGCAGAGATGGAGAGTCTGTTCTCACGGACTTTGCACCTGTTACCAGGAGTGTGGTTACTTGGGAAAGCGGAGGGGCCGTGGGAAAGCAGAAGGCCTTCGACGAGATGGGCGGACACAGTGCCCAAGGACCCAAGTACCACGGGGAGGGAGCGGCAGGGCCAGGCGGCGTCCCCTTCTGTGGTACAAAGGGTCACTGGGCACCGACTTGGTGGCACTTAACAACATTCACCAATACCTCACTTCCCAACCAGGTCACCTTCTCGGGTCCCGGGGCCTCGGGCTGGGACTTGTGTTTCTAGGGCAGCGGTTCTCAACCAGGGGGGCGCGACCCCTTTGTGGGACGAAGACACTTTCACAGGGGTCGCCGGAGACCATGTGGTCTTAGGAACCGAGACACCACTCCTCTATCCATCTCCAGTAGGGTCCGCCCACATGCAGATACGCCCACATATGGGGTCACGGCCACACGAGGAACTGTATGAAAGGGTCACGGCATTAGGAAGGTTGAGAACCACTGCTCTAGGGGATGCATCCAGTCCCTAACGGCCATCTTTTAAGAAATGCCGCACCTTGAGAACCCCACGGTCAGCAGTTTGGTGGCATGTAGCTTTCCACTCCCATAAAGAGTTGCAGTCTCGAAACCCCACGGAGCAATTCTACCCTGTGCTACAGGTTACCAGGAGCCGGGACTGACTTGTTTTCCTGCCTAGTTATCACCACTCCCCACTCAGTAGTCAGGCTGGCACTCCCGGGGTCACCAGGGCCTGAACAGGGCCTGCCCACCCACACCACTCCATCCTGCTCAGAAACAACCACCGCGCAGTAAGGGCATGGCCGCCAACCACTTGGTCAGCGTTATTGGTGTCTGCAGAGGGCCCTGCTTCCCCCTAATGACACTGTGAGTATTCACTGTCCACATACCACAAAGGACTCCACAGGAGGCGAGGTGCGCGTGGCCACAGGGACCAGGTGCCCCAGGAGATGCCAAGCCAAAGTCCTGCTATCCTGGAACAGATTCTAACTCTGTGACCCCTACGGCACAGAGTGGAACTGCTCCACAGAGCTTCCAAGGCTGTAATTATTTTTTCTTTTCGTATTATAACAGTTTTACTGACATAAAATTCACATCATCATATAATTCAATGGTTCGAACATATTAAAAGAGAGTTGTGCAATCCAAGGCTGTGATTTTTCATGTAGCCCCGGTGGCGTTGTGAGTTAGGCATTGGGCTGCTAACTGCAAGGACAACAGTTCAAACCCACCAGCCCGACCACAGGAGAAAGATAAGGCTGTTGGCTCCCAGAAACCACAGAGGCAGTTCTACCCTGTCCTACAGGGCCGCTGTGGGTTGGGCTGACTCTGTGGCCATGGCTCGCAATGCGTCGGACCCACTGGTGGCGTAGTGGTTACTCATTGGGCTTGAACCACAAGGTCAGCAGAGGGAAACCACCGCTTCAAGGGAGAATGATGAGGCTTTCTACTCCTGTAAAGAACTGGTCTAGAGACAGGGGCAGTGCTACCCTGTCCTACAGGGCCACTGTGGCCGTGGTTTGGGCTCAGCAGGGAAACAGCTCAAAGCTCGACTGCTCACAGAAAGACTGGCTGTTCAGGTCCACGCAGGGTACCACGGAGCAAAGGCCTGGCAATCGACTGCGGAAAGCCCAGCCGTGGGAGCCACGTGGAGCAGTGTACTGTGACAAGCATGCACAGACTGGACTGGACACAGCCGGTCAGCACGCTGCTCAGCTCTAGGCCCTGGGGATGCACCTGGCCGGGGGCTAGTCTGAGGGTGGGCTTGTGGTGGTGGGAGGGTAGGAACGCTGGTTGTCTCTGCCTGTGCTCCTGACCTGCTCTTCCTCTGTAGCTGTGTGCTGACCATGTCCCTTGGCTGGACAGGACTAGAGCCCTCGTCTGACTGTCTCAGGGAAGGGGCCAGACTGGGCTCTGCCAGGCCCCCTCACAGCAGGCCTTCACGTCCCCACCCAGGGTGACTCAGGGACTCTGTCTCTGGCACAGCCCCCTGCCACCAGCCAGCTCCGCCGTGTGCTTACTCACGACTAGCTTCCCAGAAGTCTCACTCAGGACTTCCTCTTGCTGACTCACAGCCTCCGTGGGCTGTGTCTTTGAGCCCCAGGTCCCAGCTGACAGCCACGTCTTCCAGAGAGAGCTCCGGGTGGCCTACATCGGGCGGCCGCTGGGTGGCCAGCCATTGTGTCCCCTGCCTCATCTCTGAGGGCGTGTTCAGGACAGAAATCCTCGAGGGACCCAAGGCAGTGTCCCGAAGGCGGAGGGTGGCCGGCGCCGTGTTGGGCACATCTGGTTCACTCTCCTGCCTCATGCTCCAGCAACCACCCCCCTGTGTTCCCCCTCCCCCCACCCTGACGAACCGCTTAGCTGCCTCTGCCCCACTCCATCGCCTCAGGGATCCTCCCAAAGCAGCCCACAAATGCCACCTGCCCACCTGGCAGCCACAGCAGCCTTTGTCCCCCGGCCTAGGAGCAGCGCAGGGTGTTTGGACTCTCTGCCCTCCATGTGGTTGGCAGCACACGGCACCCCCAAGATGCCCACGTCCTAACCCTGGGTCGTGTCAACTGACACCGTAAATGGCCTTTGCAGATGAGAGACAGTGAACGTGGCCCTGGATCTCCCAGGGGGCTGTGTCTCCCTGCCCTTCAAGGGAGAGAAGGAGGAGGTGGAGGAGGAGGGGCTGAGGCAGGCGGGAGTGGTGGTCCCAGAAACAGAGGGTGGAGTAATGCCCTCTAAGGATGGGGTGGGGTGGGGCAGGGGCCAAGAAGTGTGGACAGCCTCAGGAAGGGGCCTGGCCCTACCAAGATCCTGCCTGGGCCCTGACCAGCAGGCAGTGTCTGCTGTTTAGACTGAGCGGTTTCCCTTGTCGCAGCAGATGGAGGGCACTCTCACGGTGGACACTGAGTGTCCCTGCAGGGAGGGAGGCTGGGCAGGCGATTTTCAGCACCGCTGAAGGTTTCGTCAGCCAGACGGTGTCTATCAGTGATCAGACGGTGGACGCAGAGTTCCCTGAGAGCCTTGTCCCTGACCCTCCGGTCCTGCTGCTGACCGAGGCCGCTCGTGCAGACACTCTGAGGGCTCCCCTAGAGCATGCCGGGCGACCAGGAATTCCTAGGGCCCCACTGGCCCTCAGGAACTACCCAGAGCTCTTCTGGCCACACCCTCTGGCCAAGAGTGGCTGTCTCGAGACAGCGGCCCTTCAGACTCAGATCTCCTTGAGTCCCCAGAGATCACCATCTGCTCAGATTGAGAAGCGGGAGGTCAGAGGTTCAAGCCCACGAGGCAGCTGAGGCAGGCAGACAACCTCCACCCTCCTGGACCTCTCCCTCTGCAAGGCCACCGCCCACTTCCTCCCTCCCTCCCTCCAGGCCCAGGCCCAGCTGCTGCTGTCCCTCTGGGCTGGCTGAGTGTGCTCCAGGGCTTTGGGGAGAAGGCACCATGCCCCAGGGTCTCTGGCTTGTGGCCTGTACTAATCACAACTGCCCTCAGTGGCCAGGGACTTCCACACCTAGCCAGTGACTTGTCTCCAGGCATGAGGGCTAGAATGGAACGGAGCACACCCTGCTTGCCCCTCCACTGCCCCCTGCCCCTCCCCGCCCCCTCCACTGCCCCATGCCCCTGACCACACTCTCTCCACTGCCCCTTGCCCCTCCCTGTACCCCCTCCACTACCCCCTATGCCTTTCTGTCCCCTCTACTGTTCCTTGTGCCTTCTCTACGTTTCTGCACCCCTTCTCCGTGACCCTCCACTTGAGCTTCCCAATGCCCCCTCAACTGCCCTCACCCACAGCCTCACTCCTCTGCCACCCCATACCTCTCCCTGTGCCCCTTCACTGTCATTGGCCCCTCCCTGCACACGCACACACGCACACACACATACATACCACCACCACCATCTCTGCTCCTAGCTGCTCCACTCTGCACCCGGAGACGGCTGCCCACCCTGGAAACACCAATGTCTTATCTGTTTCCTCCAGGATAGCGTTGTCTTAAAATAGGGCTGCAGAGGATGCCTGAAAGCGGGCAATAGGTGATTGGGGAAGTGCTGGGGAAGGATGGCCGCAAGACACAATGGCCACAGCAGTGGGCTCGGGTCCAGCAGGATCCGTGAGGACCGGCGCAGGCCCTGGAGGAGTCCCGTTTTGTTTGGAGCACATGGGTCGCTGTGGGTCAGCACTCACTGACTTACAGCACCTACCAAGGGCGACACAGACACTGCAGCACAGCGTAACAGCCAGGGACACCCCACTTCCTTCCCTGGCTCTGCTTCTTAGCCAAGAAGCTAAGCGGGCTTCTCAGCGGGTCCTGGGGCCAGGCACCCCTGCGGGGCCTCAGCATTCACGCCTGTGGAGTGGGGGTGTCGTGGGGCCCACAGCCTAGGGTGGTTAACGGGATGGGGTGAGGTAAGACGAGCCGAGCATGTGGACGAGGGCTTGGGACAAGTGAGGGCCATCTGTGTATCTGCTAAATAAGGCTCCTCTCTCTTCCCCTCCTGAGCTCAGACCCAAGTGGGGGTTACCGGAATCCAATGATGAGCTCAGTTAGGGTACACTTGGGAGCGAGGCTCTCCTCATGCTGCTGCCTGGTGCCCCCGTGAGAACTGACACCACCCCACGGGCCCCTTGGCCCCCCAAGGCCATCATCCTGAGGTGGGGCAGGCCGGGGGTGGGTGCGCAGAGCCGAATGCCCTTCATGTGGACTCCAGGTCCCGCCTCCCACCCCCACTACCCCTAGTCCAAAACCTGGGTGGGAGAGCAGAGCACACGGGACTGCTTCGTCATCACGGACTGGGAGGCACAGGGGCAGACCGCCAGGCCTCGCTCCCGCAGCACGGCATGGGTTCAGACCACTTGCTCCATCAGGGTTTTGCCCAGGAGCACACACGGTGGTCAGGCATCAAAGCCCACCATCTCCCTGGCCCTGCTGGCTCGCTGGCTCCTCACAGCACCGCATAAAGCCATCTCACCACCTGCGGGATCAAATGAGAGGCAGGACCCCAGGAAGACCCATGGGGAACTGCCAAAGGTCGTCCCGCCAGGACAGGTGGATGGATAGCTGAACCCAGCCTTTCGGGGTTCTGAGGCCTGCCCATGTCGCCCATCGCCACCAGTGGCCAAGTGCGGATCCACTGGGACCCGAGAGAGTAAGCACTCTCCCCGTCCCTTGGCCGATCAGGGAGTGATGGTTAAACACCAGCTGCTAACCAAAAGGTGGGGGCTGAGCCCACCCAGCTGTGCCCCTGAGGAAAGGCCTGGCCACCTGCTAGCACCAAGGCTGCTCCGAGGGACCCCACGCACACACATACCACAGCAGAGCGCTGCCCGGCCCGCGCCGGCCCCACCTGCCCTGTGACGTTTGCACCCGTGGCTGCACCCACCGTATTCGAGGTCCTTTCCAGGGCCGGCGGTGTCTCATCATCTCGTCAGAACGCCTCCAAAGTCCCCGAGACAGGCCTCACCGCCTCGCCTCGAAGGCGCTTCGAAGGCGCGTCTGGCTGCGCTCCCTGGAGTCGGGTTTGTTCCTTCTCCTTACAGTCCGTGGCACTTCCAACGTCCGGCAGCTTCCTCCGCCCACGCCATGGGGCAAAGGATCGCTCTTTCTTCAGGTTTCTCTAGCCAGTGTCCAGTTTTCGTGTGCACACGAGGGGCTCAAAAAGGCTATGGCCCACAAGGAAACCCTACCCTGTCTGTCACGTGGGGTCACTCGGGCCAGAGTTGACTCAGGGGAATGCTTTGGACAGGGACTCCCAGACAGGAGGGGTGGAGGTGGAGGTAGAGGTGGGGAAGCTCGCTGGCCACTTCTTTTCAATGTGTCTGGACCCAGGTCTGGGTGTGGGCCTTGGGAGGGGGGATTCTCGTGGGGCCCCTGCTACCTGTGACCCTACAGGAAGGCACAGGAGACAAGAGAGGCAGAGTCCACGCCCATGGGGTCCAGGACCCCAGAGCCCAGGGAGCGTCCTTCCCTGAGGCTCAGACACCATGTGGCTTTCTGCCCTCAGGGAGGCGGCGGAGGAGCACGGGCACAGAGCAAGGCCATCTGTCGGGGACATGTGACTGGCCAGGTGGACGACCCTGGAAAGGGTGCGTCAAGCAGTGGGGTCACAGGCACGGGCAACACAGACAGACGCTGACTTGTACACATACCCCAAAGTGCAGCCATCCGTGGGGCGACTCAGTGACACTGCTCGGGAGGGTGTCGAGGCTGTCTGTCTTTGCGGAAGCAGACCGCCCCGTCTGTCCTCCTCAGTGACTGTGGGTTTGAAGCTGAGACCAGTCAGCAGCTGAGCACCTCACTTCCGTGCCGCCCGGGCCCCTGACTGCCGCACAGACCCAGCCGGCTGGCCTCACGCCTATCCCCCCTCAGAGGCACCCCGTGCGGATTTCCAAAACTGCCCACCGTGCTGGGCGCAGACAGCCCGTCCTTCTCCTTCCGAGCAGCTGGTGGCTTTGAACTGCTGACCCTGCAGTTAGCAGTCCAACGCTGAACCCACAACTGACTCCACTCATGTGTAACACGCCAAGACCCAGAACCAAACCCACCACACGGAGTCCATTCACAGCGACCCTTTACTGCTCCCCTGGGGGTTCCCGAGGTTATCAGCCTCATCTTGCTCCTTCAGAGTGGCTGGTGGGGTTGAACTGCCAATCTTGTGGATCCCAGCTCCGTGTGCTTATCCCCCAGGGCCACCTAACACAAGGGACCGTCAAGGGCAGATTTGAAAGATCTAGCTGAGCGGGCACAGAGGACTTTAGAAGTACCAGGCTTCAGGCAGGTCAGGGTTGGGGTACCCAAGACCCTGTGGGCAAAAGGCCCTGTTGAGGATGTGCTTGGTGGTGATGGGGAGCCACCAAGTTTGGGGGTCTCAGCCTGGGTCTGGGGAGCCAAAGACTGAGGTGGGCAATGCTGCAGTCAGAGGGCGGAGAAAAGGAGGCCCAACTCTGGATAGACAGTTGGATGAGGGCGGGGACTGTGACTGGAACAGGGACAATTACAGAGGGTTCGGCAGGGGGTGGAGGGGTGGGTATAGCAGAGAGAGGAGGTACCCAGGGGAGCATAGGGGTGGCCAGGCTCCGGACCCCAGGCAGCGGAGTGGGGTCTGCTGAGGGTGATGGTCCATTTGGTCCTGGGTCCGGAACTGAGGTCCAGCCATGAGGAGTCCCTATGGGTAATGAGGGAGAGCCCACAGAGGGCAGGGACATAGAATGAGGGAGATGTGATAGGCCATGGTCCACACCCCAAGAAGCAGTCTGTCCCACCCATCCGCTGCCCTCCAAGGCCCTTCCTGTCCCCCAGCCAGGCCACCCAGTTCCTG